GAGGAGAGGAGGAGGGTGAGTGTGAGGAAGGGGGAGGATGTGGAGGCGGAGATGAGGAGGGGAGGAAGGGGAGGAGGGGGGGAGGGGCGGGAGGAGGGGGGGGGGAGGCGAGGAGGAGGGGAGGGGAAGGAGGAGGGGGGGGGGAGGTACGGGGGAGAGGGGGGGGGAGAGGGGGGGCGCGGAGGGAGGAGGCGGAAAAGGCGGAGGAAGCGGAGGAGGATATCGGGCGGGCAGCGACCCTCACTTTCGCCGAGGTTTTGCGTGAACCCAGCGGGCTTCACCGACGTGGTCGTCCAGGCGCTGCGATGCTGGGCTCAGCAAGGGAAAATCACGGCGGCGCACATCGAGCGCATGCACGCCTTCCACAACCGCGTGTTCGGCGACAACGCCAGCTCCACCACCGTGGAGTCGAACTTCTACCAGGCTTTCCTCCGCCGGCTCATGCGGGCCCACGTCGAGAGAGGGGGGCTGGATTTCAGCAGGCGCAAGAATTCCGCGGCGTTTGCCCGGAAGCGTGGAGTGATCACGGTCAGTTGCAAGTTGAAGAAGAAGAAGGCAGATAAGTTGGCGAAGAGCCTCGTCAGGGGCCATCCTATCTACAGCGAGAAAACAATGTATGTAAACGCAAGGTCTTCCGCAGCTCGGCGAGCGAGGCCGCGCGGGGCGATCCACTCCCGGGCGGGCGAGCAGCGGGCGCGAGATGGTTGGAGGGCCGAGTACGACGACGCGACCCCGGCTCAGCGGGCGGCCTTCTTCGCCCAGTTGCCCGTGGATCTGGGCGTCGCGCCGGCGCCGCAGCCGCGGCGGGGCGAGAACGGGCTGGCGGCGGGGCAGGATTTGTTCGATATCATGATTGGCCAGATCGACCCCGTGCTTCAGCATCAGCGGCGGGCGCCGGGCTTGCCTGACATCGGCGACGAGGTCTGGCCCATCGCTGTTGACGCTTTCAAGAGGCACGTGAGGGCGCACACGAACGGCTTCGGGCTTGCCAACCTGGGCAACAAACTTCGCGTGGGACTCCGCGCGGACATGGCGGTCGGACCCTGCCCTGGCATGCCGGCGGGCCCGATCCGGCGGCTAGTTCAGCGTTGCATGAAACACCCTGGCTTGTGCGCTACAAAGGACCATGCTGTCTACAACACTGCCCTCGAGATCGCTCGGGCCATCCATCGGGACCATAGGAAGTTCAAGATCGGAGATTTCTACTTTTTCGAGGCTGGGCGCGAAGACGCGCCAGACCAGCAGGAGGTGTTTATTCTCGCCGCTTGCGCTGGCCATCGGCTACGCGACCCACCGCTCTCCACGTTTGCGTTGGCGGAGTGCGAGGGGGACCTCGCGGACAACAAGCTGGGTTTGCAGGAGGAGTCTGGGCGTTTTCGGTTTCTAACTTCATGCGGCATTGGCCGCGCTCTGGCCCCGTGGTCGCGGTGGGGCATCCGTCGCGTGGAGGCCGATAACATCTCCGATGAGCCTCGGGCGGTGATCATCCGCGGCTTCGAGGCCCACTCCATGTTGGCTGCCCGCGACAAGCGGGCGCCGCTGCCTGCCCCTGCTGCCGGCTGCGGCGGCTACGACGCGTGCGATCTGCTCTGGGCGCTCGACCCGCCGCAGCCGCTGCCGCTGGGGCCGCCGCTGGGGCCAGGATCGGGGTTTGGGTCATCAATCATCCTGTCTCCCGCTCTGCCAGCGCCCTCCTCCCCTGGCCTTGGCGCAGGGCGGCCCGCCCCTCCTCCTCCCCCGTCGTCGCTCCGTCGTCAGTCGGCCCTCTTCAACTCCTACCTCCTACCTACCCGCGTCCTCCCCTCTCTTGTTAGTGCGAGTTATTCGCCCTCTGGGTCGTCGTCGTCGTCGTCGTCGCCCTGGCGCCTCGCCGCCCCCTGCCCTGCGCCCTGCGCCCTCCGCCCAGGAGGCGGCGGAGGCGGCGGCGGCGGCGGCGACGTGGTTGTGGACAACGACTCGTGCGCCTCTTCTGCCATCGAGACCGACGTGGACTACGTGGAGCCTCTGGAGCTGCCCATCGTGGACCCTGGGGCGCCGCCGCCGCTGCCCCCCGGCCCCCCCGGGCCAGCGCCTGGGCCGCTTCCGCCCCTCCCGCAGCCAGCGGCCCCCGCAGCGGCCCCCGCAGCGCCGCCGCCGCCGCCGCCGCCCAAAGGCGGCGGCAAAGGGTGGCGCCCTGGCAGGCGAGCTGCGTGGTTTGAGATCCCCGTGGAAGGCTACGGGAAGATCTTGGTCAAGCCCGATTTCTCCGTGATCTCGGCGCATTGCGTGCCCTGGGCGCGCGAATGCGCAGGAGGATGAGGAGGTAGGTTTGCAGGGGGGGGGCGAGGTGGCGGAGGCGGGGGGGAAACAAAGGGGGATGGTCCGCGCTGCTTTCTTGGATCGGCGCTGGACCCCCGGCGCCGGAGGCGCCGCTGAGGGGGCCCAGCGCCGACCCAGGAAATCCGCGCGGGACCTCCGACAGTTTATGTTTATGTAGTTCTTCTTCGAGGGATGGGAGAGGTAGATGAGTGGGGGAGGAGGTCGGGGGAGGAGAGAGGAATCGACGTCGACGGTCCTTCGCCCGCTTCGCTGTGGCATCATCCCCTTGTCGGCGCCCTCGGCGCATCGCCCTCCCATTCTTCGTCGACCCATCTCTACTCGTGGGGTCGCCGTCTCAGGCAGCGGTCGTGCCAGTGCAAACGAGGCTGGGGGGGCCTTGCTGAGGGGTCGCAGCCCCCATCTCCTCGCTGGAAAGTCGAGGCTCGACGGCCAGGGGCCCAGGCGGCCCAGCTCAGACGGCGACCCCCCGAGCTAGCGGCGCCCCCGATTTCGCGTTGCGCCCCGAGGCTTGCGGCCACGGCTTGTGCCGGACCAACCGCACGACCGCCGCCAGCGACTCGCCTGCGCGGGCGGCCCAGGGGCGCCCGATGGGATTCCTCATCGCCTGGCTTTGGGCAGGGGCCGAGGCTCGCATCCGCGATTTCGCTGGGCATCAACAGCTCTCCCGCGCCGCTGGCCGAGACGATCCCCTCGTTTCTCTGGCGACCAGGACTGCTGCGAGGGCATGGGTTGAGAGCCAACCTGAATTCAGATGGGTCCTCGAAAGTGCCGAGCGTGGGCGCAGGGGCGGCGAGGGGCCAGAGCCGCTCGCATTGTGTTGACGTTTGACGTTTAAGGGGCGGGGGGCGGGGCTCGTGCCCCTAGCCCCTCGCAAGCCCCCGACGTCGGGCCGCGGGCGTTCCGACCTGCCCGTCGGCGCCAAGTTGAGCTTGAAGTGTAGAATCGCAGTGCGAGCGAAATAGAAGGATGTTGTAGCACAGTCAAAGCGCATAATAAGGATGTGCCGATTTCCAAAGGGCACCCTTAGCACCCTACCATCCATAGATGTTGATGAGCGGTCTTAGTTCTTAGGTTTTGCAGCCGCGTGAAAAATGCCGACGTGGGCGCCCGAGGCCCTTGCATCTTTATCGCGCATCCTTACTATCCGCTTGCAGTGTGTCACTGCAGCTCGCCAGCCTTTCATCGATGCTTCGGGGGCTGCTCGCTGAGATGATATGCGGGGCTGCGCTGCGGGCAACCTTGCATTCATGTTTGAGAGCTGAGAGGGCCGCCTGGGTCTCGCATCCTGCCCGTTGCCCCTGTCCGACCTCACTGGGTCTTGCTTGCGTCGTGGCTAAAGCCCGTGCCCTGCCATCCAGGCGCGATTCGGACTACCTGTGTCGTCCGAGGTGGTCCAGGCCAAGGCCCATTTCGAGCCCCCCCCCTCCTCCCCGCCGCTGCTCCAGGGCCCCGGGGCCCAGGGGCCTTGCTCGCCGCCCATCGACGTACTTCAACGCCCGCCTCTCCTTCACCACCACCACCCCGCCCCACCTCTTTCCCTTTCTTCTCCCCCCTTGGACGAGGGCGGGGGGAGAGGATGAGGACGGGGCCATTCGCGCCGATCGTTTGACCGCCTCTTTTCGCGATGGCTCGGGGGTGGACACAACCCCCAATAGTGACGCGTCGATTAGTGAATTGTGCGTTTTCGGTTTTCGAGAGGGCGCCGTGGCCGTTATTTTCCAGGCTTGCGCCCGCCAGGTGTGGGCCCGAAGTCGTTTTCACTAAACCACGTTTTATTAAAGGGGGGTCTGTCCATCCCCGAATGGCAGATGACCCCCCCCCCCCCGCGCGTTGCATTGGTGACCCCATTTTCGGCCTCCGCTTCCTGGTCGATGTCCAAGGTTCGGCAAGGATGTCACTCCGCCGGCGGCCGCCCGCGGCCGCCGCCATCTCGGCCGCCGATGCGGCCGCCGTCGCCAGCGACCCGGGCATCAAGCGCCGCCGCCGGGTCAACGCCAAGGTGTCCGAGTCGATGGCGTCGGGCGGCCCCGTGCCGAACCTCGACATCATTGGCTTCCTCGGCCTCGAGGCGCGCCTCCGCGCGCCTCCACCCCCCCGTTCCATTTCCGTTCGAGCGAGGGGGGGACTTGACATTAACATGAACTTTCGGAGGTTTGCGCGAAATTCTTGGATCGGCGTTGGGCGCCGAATTCTCCGCCCTCCTCTTCATCCATTGGAATCGTCATCGGCGTTATCTATGCGGTGCAGGGTATGCGGCGCAATACCTATGTAATGTCACCTGTGCGGTGCAATATATGTGGTTGGTAGTAGGCGATGTACAGTTGTACACACATATATATATATATATATGAACCTTCCAAGGAAACTTATGCGGAGTCCACCTGAGCGTGCGCGACGCCGTTGATGGATAACGGTTGAGTTTCATCCATCTGCCGTAGCTGTGTTGGCTCGAGACAGGCAGCGGAGTCACCGGGCGGTGCCGCCCGTCTGTGGCCGCTGCCGAGCCACCCTGTCTACTGAAAGTTCGCCGCGCCGAGCGCGGCCGCGTGCAGGCCACGCTCGGACGACTGATTCTGATCAGCCTCGCTGGCAGACTTTGCGGGCTGAGGGGAGCGAAGACCTGGCTGGGAGACGAGGATCCCGGGCGCGGGTCGCCCCTCTCCCGCGCCGCTGCTGGCGAGGAGCCCGATGGAGCGGGCAGCCCCGGGTGCCGCCGGGTGGCCCTTCCCGAGAGGGGCCTGGCTCGACGCGGCGCTGAACGGCGACCTGGTGCCGGGGCTGCCGCTGTGGGCTGGTGCACGGGTCCTGGCGCGCGTCAAGGACGACGACGGGGCGCCGCAGGGCGTCGAGATGCTCGAAGAGGAGGTCGCCTACCAAGCGGACGCCTTCGGCCGTTTCTTCAAGGGCCGGCACGTGGGCGCCAGCGACCCGTACTTCTCATGGTATGCAGCCTCCTCCGGGCAGCAGGGCGCGCGCCCCCTGGCCACGGTCTTCCACCTCTGCAAGTGCAGCGCCGCCGAGTGCGGGGCGGTCGCCCCATTGGGCGCAGTAGTCGAGCACTTGGACGTGTGGCAGGTGGTGGACCCCCGCGATGTGGCCCGCGAGCAGGCGAAGCTCATCTGCCCGGCCGCGGACCCTGGAGCACCTGTGCTGACCGACGCGCCCTCGGCCGAGCCGATGCCTGGAGAGCTCGGCGGCTGGCCGCTCGGGGACGGGGCCAACGAGGTCGAGGAGGAGCCTCGCGGGCCACCGCGCAAGCGAGCCCGCGAGGTGGAGGGCACCCAGACCCCTGGCGGACCAGGAGATACGAGCCCGCTCGACCAGGAGCTTGCTGGGCTCGAGGAGACCGCCGAGGACCCCGAGCTCGAGGCGCGGCTGGCGCGGCTCGGGGGCAAGGCAGCTCGTGGTGGGCCGAGGCAGGGCACGCCCAAGAATGCCGCGCGCCCAGCAGGGGCCGTGGGCGAGCGCCTGGCGCAGGTGGTAGCTGGCCGAGCCGCCGCTGCTGCCCCTGCGCGCGCCAGCGCCTCGGGATCGAGGGGCAGGCTGGCGTCAGCGTTGACCGCTGCGCTCCTGGGGCGCGACGACGACGACGCGGAGGACGGCGCGGAGAGCGACACGGAGCGCCTCGGGGGCCGCGATCGCTACCAGGGCGTGAACATCAAGCGCGACTTGTTCCGCAGGATCGCTCGGCAGCGGCCTGGTGCTCTCCTCGAGAATGGGCTCGGCCACCTGCGCAGCCAGTTCACCCAGCAGTTGTCCGCGGGCGAAGCCGACCCTCTGGCCCCATGCGTCACGCAGTTCCTGAACACGGTGTTCTTCGTTGCTCACCCGCCGCGCACGCTGGGGACAGACGAGGTGCGGGTCCTCCGCGCGCTGGGGCTGGCGCTCGACGGCATCCTGCGCGGAGAGGTCGTCGAGACTGCGGATCTGCTCATGCAGGAGTTCAAGGCGCGGACGATGGCCATCCGCGACGGGAACTGGCGGTCAGCACGGTGGCTCACGCTGGTCGCACAGGAACAGCTTCCTTCAGGCGCCTCTCTGGACGAGGAGAACGCCGCCGAGAAGGTCGAGGCCCGGGAGCTGAAGGTCGCCGAACTCCGCCAGCGGCTTGCAGACCGCAGGCCGGGCTAGGGGTCTGGCCGGGAGCCGTCTCCGTTGCAGGGGGGGACGGCACCTGCAGGCCACGGGCGCGCGGAGGCGCGCCCCCCGCCCCCTGCTACCGGGACGCCAGTCTCGGGATCGGCCGAGGCGATGAGGATCCTTGCCGGACGCGTTCCAGGCGACGGTCCCGCAGCTCCCCCCGCCGAGAAGAAGCCGCCAGCGGCGCGGAGGACCAGCCGCAGTTCCACGCGGTCAGTCCAGCTCCTGAGCGACTCGGAGGGGGACCTCGACGCAGCAGCCGCCGCCCGCGTGCCACCAGCGGAGGCGGCGGCGAGCCGGAGCTTCGCGCAGCACAAGGCGGCCCACCCGAGGCGCGAGGGCGAGACCCAGGCAGCGTGGAAGGCGCGCATCGAGAGGCCGCTGGCTGCCAAGAGCCGCGGCAAAGGCAAGACGGGGAAGAGCCGCGGCACGGGCACTGCTCGCAGGACGGCCTGGGTTCGAGCGTGAGGGCCGACACGGCTAAGGCCGCGGCCCACGGCACGCCCCCGCCTGCCCTCCGCCCGCCTGAGCGGCAGCTACGCGGCAGTTCGCAGGCTCGGCGGTGGCGCCAGATGCTAGCCGAGGTGGGCACGGGCGTCAGCTCCAAGTTCAGGCTGGCCCTCGCAGTCCACGAGGCGGTGCACGGCTCGCCAGGGGCGATCGGGCGGTACGTTCGTAAGATGTGCACTTCGCCAGACCCCACGGCCAGCTTCGCGCGGCTGCGCGAGGTGTTGCCGTTACCACTGCCCGACGCCCCACTCTTCGAGAGGTACCGCGCCGCCTGGCACCTGCACCAGCAGCTGCCGGAGACCTGCGAGGTGGACGCCGCCACGGCGCAGGGGTGGGCCCAGCTCGTGGTCTTCAGCCTGAACTACCAGTACACGGGGCACATGCGCAGTCCCACCGTCGCCGCGAGGCGACCCACGGCTAGCCAGGTTAGTGCGCTCAGCATTGTGCAGGAGGCCTGTGAGTATTTCGTTCAGGATGCCGCCACAGCCTTCGAGCTCCCGGACTGGGACCGGGTCATCTCGTCGAGGACCGTCTCCTACGGGGGCGAGGAGACGGCCCGCGCCTTGCCGCTCTCGCTCGCGGGCATCATGCCAGGCCTCCCCACGCGCGGCGTTGCCGCCTCGGTCAAGGCGGTCGACATCGCGGACGCTCAGGTGGGCGCCTGGCTTGCCGACCCCACGCTGGCTTTGCTCCCACGAGGATGGGAAGAGCTTGGTTTGGTGGTGTATTGTTGGTTGGTGGATTTTTTAAACCTTGGTTAGTGGTTGGTGTTCTTTTTTGGTGTGGTGGTTTGGTTGGTTGGTGGTTCGGGTTGGGTGTGGTGGTGGGCTTTTTCTTTTTTTTTTTTTTTTTGCTCCCACGAGATCCACGAGATGAGTGGCCTGCAGAGGTCCCGCGGGCAGCGATCCAGGTCACGTCCAAGCAGGAGTGGTACCGCATCGGGACCAAGCTCGTCGAGCTGGGGCTGGCGGCGCCGATCGCCGACGACCGCATCTTCAAGGTCGGGAACCGCAAGGTGCTTGCGGGGGCGTTCGGGGTCGCCAAGGGAGGCACGCCGTCACCTGGGCAGGCGTGCGTCCAGCGGTTAATCATCAACATGGTCCCGGCCAACAGCTACCAGCGCATCATGAGGGATGACATCGGGACCCTTAGCGCGTCGCCCTCGTGGGTCGCCATCCCGCTCCCAGAGGGCCTCATGCTGCTCTGGTCCTCAGATGACCAAGCCTCCGCTTTCTACTGCTACGAGCTGCCCGAGGCCTGGCAGCCATACATGACCCTCGCGGAGGCGATCCCGAACGAGCTCATCGGTGTGCCGGGTCCTGGGAAGACTCACCTCGCGCTGCGCGTCATCCCGATGGGCTGGATCAACGCGGACACGGTGTTTCAGCACTGCCACAGGCGCCTCGGGTTCGGCTCTCGCCCCCTCGCTGCGGGGTTTCCCGCAGAGCTCGAGTGGCGCAAGGACCGGCCGCTTCCGTTCAAGTCGAAGGAGCTCGAGCAGCAGTGGATCCAGTACTACATCGACGACTGGGACCATGGCGAGGTGGTGCCCAACGCGATGGTCGCGGAGCTCCTCGGCACGATGAGCTGCGCGCAGGAGGAGCAGAGGGCCGCCTACGGCCGCTCGGGGATCAGCGTCGCCCCCGGCAAGGCCAAGCACCGCGCGCTGGTCCTGGAGCGGATGGGCGCGGGTCTTGACGGGGCCGTCGGCCGGGTCGGAGTCACGACCGAGAAGCTGCACCAGCTGCTGGCGTTCACCCTGTGGGGCATGGGCAGGCAGGGCCTCTCGTCACAGGGCATGCTCATGATCCTAGGCAGGTGCGCCAGGGCAGCGGAGTTCAGGAGGCCTTTCATGGGATTCCTCAACAGCGTGTGGGCTGCTGGACGCTGGACGCGTCCGCAGACTGTTCCCCTTGGCATGTGCGACGAGCTCTTGGGCTTCGCGATGGCGCTGCCGCTGGCCTACACTGACCTGCGCGCGAAGATCGACACTTGTGTCATAGCGACCGATGCCAGCGAGCGCGCCGGGGGCATCTGCCACACGGCCGGGCTCTCGGCGCAGGGCGTTGCGTGCGCGAGAGGGGGGGCTTCGGCTGTGACGTTGCGGCCTGGTGCAGTTGCGGCCCCTGTGCGGGGTGTGCGGTGGCGCCCTCGCATAGTTCTCATCGAGCTCTTCGCTGGCGCCGCGGGGGCCGCGGTGGCGGCCTCCAGACTCCCGATCGACGTGATGGCCCATGTCAGCTGCGAGGTCGAGCCCGCCGCCCGGCGACTGGTGCGTCGCCGCTGGGCGGGTGTGATCGAGCTTGGCAACATCGAGGCCGTCGACACGGCGCGGTTTACTGAGATGCTGAAGGGCTACGCGCGGGACGCCGACTGGGTCGTCCTGACCGCGGGGAGCCCGTGCCAAGACCTGGCGAGCATCAATGTCGTGGGGACCGGCCTGGAGGGGTCGAGGTCGAGGCTCTTCTTCCGGGTCCCCGAGCTGATCCAGGCAGCAGAGGCTGCCTTTCCCAAGCGCACCATGTGGTTCGTCGAGAACGTGTTCAGCATGACCTTAGAGTCGAGGGCGGAGTTCACCAGGGCGCTTGGCGTCACACCCGTGTTCCTCGATGCCAGGTGTCTCACTCACGTCAGGCGGCCCCGCCTGTACTGGCGCTCGTGGCCCGTTACGGCGTTCTTGGCGTCCGACGCCACCGTCGAGACCAAGGGTGAGGGTGAAGCCACGTACTTCAAGGTCTCGCTTGCGGTGGAGAGGCTCCCACTGAGTGCCTCGCTCCTCGAGGGCTGGTCGACGCTGGACCCTGAGGCAGACCTCCCTTGTTTCACGAGGCCGATCCCGCGGAGTCACCCGCCGTTTCGGCCCGTGGGCCTCGACCGCGCCTCGGTGAGGGCTGCAGAGCGCTGGGCTGCCGACAGCTACCGTTACCAGGTCAACAACTACGAGGACGGCAGCCTCATCTGGGATGCAAGGCGGAGCGGGGCCGGCTGCCCGTGCCTGAGGAGCGTGCTGCCCTGATGGGGTTCGACCGTCTCTATTTCCAGGCCGCTGTAAAAGATAGTGCACCTGCCGCCGAGCGTGACAGCGTCATTGAGTCTCTGATCGGGAATACGTTCTGCGTCCAGGCTGTCATGTATCTTCTCGGCTCGTGGCTCGCTCAGGTGGGGGCGCTAGCGGCCGCCATCCCGGGCAGCAGCTGCCTCGCTGTGGGCGCGTGCGAGGCGAACTGGAACGTGGTCCCCGACTTCCAGCAGCCGGGACATCGCGACCCGCGGTTGGAACGCAGCCTGATCGTGGAGTTCCTGAGGGTCGCGGACCGCGGGGGCACGGACGTCCGGCTTGACGCCGGGGCACCCTACCGAGCCCGCGCGTGGCCGCGGGCAGCTCTCCGTACGCACCTCTGGGCCTGGCGGATCGCCAAAGGGTTTCGCTGGCAGCGGCCCGGGCACATCTCGGCGCTGGAGCTGGAGGCTGCAGTGGCTGGAGCGCGCTGGAGGTGCCGAGCGGTTGAGAACCACCGCTGCCGCTACCTGCACATACTGGATGCCCGAGCGATCGCGGCAGTCAGCACCAAGGGCAGATCGAGCGCGAGGGCTTTGCAGCCCGCGCTCCGCCGTCTCAACGCCCTCCTCCTCGCGACGGCAGGGTACCCGCTGTACGGCTACTGCGACACCGACGACGTGCCCGCCGACACGCCGTCCCGCTGGAGCTTCGGCCGCCGCTGCCTCGCTCCCAGTGCGGCCGCCGGCAAGGGCCAGGAGGGCCGCCCCCAGCAAGCGCGCAGCACAAGCAGCGGCAAAGGTGAGCCGGGTCACAGCTCAGGCGATGGCGCGACGAGCTGCAGCGAGATCCCAACCGCTGAGGGAGGCGATGGTCACGCCACTCACCCTGCAGCGGTACCGTGCGGCAGTCGATGAAGTCGTTGAGTTCTGGATCCAGGAGCACCGGCAGCCGCAGACGCCCGCTCAGGTCGACGCTGGCGTGGCCGCCTTCATTGAGAGCCGCTGGCTGAGCGGAGGATCTTTGTTCGAAGTTAATAATGCTATTGCTGGCATCACGCACGCTTTCCCGCCCGTGCGAGGGCACCTGCGGGACAGCTGGCGCTTGGCCAAGACGTGGCAACGACTGGAGCCAGCTGGGCGGGCGCTGCCGATTGGTCCGCTGATCGCGGCAGCATTCGCTGGTGCATTTGCAGCCGTAGGCCAGCTCGGTGCTGCGGCGGTGCTGGCTGCGGGCTACGATGCTTTCCTCCGGACGGGTGAGATGACCTCGCTCGTGTGGTCCGATGTACAGCTGTACCCACTCCGACGAATGGCCGTGCTGCAGCTGCGCAACGCCAAGAGCCAGCATCAGACTGGTGCCCGAGAGTTCGTGCTCGTGCGGAGTGGTGTAGCGGTCGCCCTCCTTGCTAGAGCAAAGGCTCAGGCGCACGGACAGGACTTGTGCCTCGGAATGGAGCCAAACAGTTTCATGAACACTTTCAGCCGGGTGCGTGAGCTGCTGGAACTGCAGGATGCTAAGCTCACCCTCTACAGCTGGCGGAGGGGCGGCGCCTCCGCCGACTTCCGCAGCCATGGCTCCATGGAGCAGACGCTGCTCCGAGGCAGATGGGCCTCGGCGCGCACGGCCCGCTTGTATGTCCAGGATGCCGTCGCCGAGGCCACTCAATTAACTCTCTCGCCCGCGCAGCGGAAGCGCTGCGGCCTGCTCGCGTCCCGCCTGCGAGCAGAAGCGAGATGAACTTTTCTTGCTTTGTACTGCCTGTCTGTCTGTCCCGCCCATCCTCCACCTTTCTTCCCTCATTTCATTACACCGAGGTGGAGGGCATAAGTAAGAGCAAGAGGGAGCGGCTTTTGCCAGAGTAGGGACCGTGGAGAGAGCTAGGGGGTTCAGGGGTTGGTGACGTTTAACCTCCCGGCGGTGCAAGTGTGTCAGCGCGTCTGGGACGCAGCGCGGGTGCTTTAGCGCCACGGCTGTGCCAGGCGGGTTGGGAGGCCCTTGGATGCCGCTGAAGGGACGGGACCTCTCCCAACTCCTGGAATGACCCCTGAGTAGCCCCCAGAGGTCCTGGCCTGACAAGCTCCCTGGCGGAGTGCACAAAAACAGGTGAGAGAAGCATATATGAACCTTCCAAGGAAACTTATGCGGAGTCCACCTGAGCGTGCGCGACGCCGTTGATGGATAACGGTTGAGTTTCATCCATCTGCCGTAGCTGTGTTGGCCCACCCACAGACAGGGGGCAGCATTGCTACCGTCTCGCGCGTGGCCGTGCCTGCCTCCGCGCGAGTGTTTGCCAGGACGAGAGAGCTAGGGGGTTCAGGGGTTGGTGACGTTTAACCTCCCGGCGGTGCAAGTGTGTCAGCGCGTCTGGGACGCAGCGCGGGTGCTTAAGCGCCACGGCTGTGCCAGGCGGGTTGGGAGGCCCTTGGATGCCGCTGACGGGACGGGACCTCTCCCAACTCCTGGGTTGACCCCTGAGTAGCCCCCAGAGGTCCTGGCCTGACAAGCTCCCTGGCGGAGTGCACAAAAACAGGTGTAGACAAGCATATACATATATAGATATATACACATATATATATATATATATATATATATATATATATATATATATATTGTATGTATATATATATACGATGATAGGAAGAGGAGGGCGGAAGCCTCCATGAGGGTGGCGGTTCGGAGGGGGAGGGGCAGTTGCAGCGGTGTATGAATACGCCCCTCCTTCTTCCTCCTCATCGTCCTCCTCCCTCCTCCTCGTCGTCGCCTCCGACTTGAGGTCAGCCCCTCCTCCTTTTTCTCCCGGTCCTGCTCCTCCTCCCCCCCCCCCTCTGGCCCCTCCTCCTCCTCCTCCTGCTGCTGCTGGTGGCCCGCTGGGGGCGCCTCGCACCCGTCCTGAAAGCCACCCATGGGGCTTTATGTAAATCGTCGTGGGACAGGAGTACAGGAAGGACGCCCCCCTCCTTCGCGCTGTTCCTCCTTCTCCCCAGAGGGTAGACGGACCCAAAATATAGGAACGTCCAGGCTCGTGAAGGCCGCCAAGGGGGGGAGGCGGAGGAGGAGGAGGCGGAACAGGAGGAGGAGCAGGAAACCGAGGAGGAGGAGGAGGAGGAGGAGGAGGAGGAGGAGGGGGAGGGGGAGAAGGAAACTGAGGAGGAGGAGGAGGAGGAGGAGGAGGAGAAGGAAGAGGAGGGATGATGATGATGATGGTGATGATGATGATGACGATGATGATGATGATCATGGTGATGATGATGATCATGATGATGATGGTGAATATGATGATGATGATGATGATCATCGATGGTGATGAGGAGGAGGAGGAGGATGATGATGATGATGAGGAGGAGGAGGAGGAGGAGGAGGAGGAGGAGGAGGAGGAAAAAACCCCTGAGAGGCTCCAGCACGGGCCCGAGCGGGGCCCAGGGACCCCCCAGAGGGGGTACATAACGAACGCCTCGGGTTATATACGCCACTGGGGGCCTCCTGGAACCCTCTCGCGGCCTTTGCCGGGCTCTTTCGGGGCCTGGGGGCGCGGCCAGAAGGTTCTCAAGGGGCCCCGCAGGGGGCCCCGGGGCGGGCCCAAGAGGGCCCCGGGGCCCTCTTGGGCCCGTCCCGGGACCAGCGAAACATATGAGATTATTGAGCCCAAACCCAACTCCCACACGCAAGCGCCCCGTGTGGGAATTGGTTTTTCCACCGCCAGAAATGGGTCGCAAGCGCATGGCCCCTCCCAACATCAGCAGAGCACGCAGATATGCCACAGCCTTCCGCGTATATAACCCGACGCGTTCGTTATATACCCCCTTTGGGGGGTCCTTGGGCCCCTTTCGGGCCCGTGTTGGAGCCCAGAGAATTCTACTGCGCTGCGCTGCAAGTAATGTCTTGCGCGCAAAGATCCAGCGAAACATTTGCGCCCCGGAATGTGTTGCACGCCCCAGGTGTATTGCAGCCCCACAGATCTGTTGCACCAAATCTATTGCACCACCCCCTTGTCGCTGGACCCCCTTCTGGGTCAACCCGAAACGAGGAAAGGCGACATCAACATCACCAGGGCGAGGAGATGCGAGGAGCAAGGGCGGGCTCCCTGGCTCCCTCTGGTGGTGTGGTCCCCCCCTCTCGCTCCCCCAGCCTCCAGCCCGTGGAGGAGGAGGAGGAGGGGGGGGAGGAGGAGGAGGGTGGGTATCCGTCTCAAACACTCTGGAGGCGGCGGTGAATCCAGCTTCTGGACTTGGGGCTCCACGACGTCGCGCGTCGATCGATGGGGGGGGAGGAAAAGGAGGGGGAGGAGGCGGAGGAGGGAGAGGGGGAGGAACAGGAGGAGGAGGAGGAGGAGGAGGAGGAGGAGGAGGAGGAGGAGGAGGAGAAACAAAACAAAAAGAGGAGGAGGAGCGAGGCAGGAGGAGGAGCAGCAGGGGGCGGAAGAGGAGGAGGAGGAGGAGGAGGAGGAGGAGAAAAAGGAGGAGGAGGAAGTTAACTGAGGCAACCTATCCTGGATGCCATGTGAACACGCTGTTTGCTGATGTCTTGGCGCCGACTCGGGTTCGTCCTGGAGCCCTCGTCGGCCCTTCTTAGGGATACCTTTTGCCCCTCGTCGGGGCACCAGAGCGGCAGTAAAAAGAGATATGTCTTCACCCGCTCCATCTATGAACCCCGCCGCTCATCCTACCGCTGGTCTATGCTGAAGCGAGCCCCCTGCGACGCCATTTTGTGGCCATTGTCTTCCCGCGATTATTCGTGGTCGCGGCTCGCTTTGATGCAGCAAGAAGAATCTAACTTTAACTTGAATGCGTTGGGGGCAAAAGTAGGCTGGCCCCCTCCCCCTCGGGCCCCAGGAAGGGATATTACTCGGATCGTTGCACCCGGGAGGGCCCCACGGGTGGCCTAAGAGAGCTCCAAGAAGGCCCCGGGAGCGGCCCAAAAGTATCGCACGGCCGTGCGATACTTTTAAGCCTTTCTTGGGGCCCTCCTGAGGCTCCTTTTGGGCCGCTGTTGGGGGCCTCTTGGACCCTCTCGAGCCG